AGATAAATTCCTTGTTCTTCTATATTTTCTATAACATGATATTCGTTTTCCATTTTATATCTTTAATTATCTTATATTTAGAATTCTTAGCCTTATTTGAACACTTAGAATAGATGCTTGATATTCGGCTTTCTTTATTAAATCTTTCATCATGGTATTTGAAGAGGTGATATCATCACATATTCGAAAATAAACTTCATCTTCTACTGGACATTCTTTATGTATATAAACTTTAACTAGATCGAATAATATTCGTTCATTTTCTTTTAACATTTTTGTTAATAAAACAATTTGTTCGATTAATGATTTTAGGCAATTTATATCTCTATGTATTTCTTTATATAACATATTCAAAAAACCATTTATTTCCATGCAGAATTAAGGAATTAATAACAATAGATATAAGAATACTTGTTATGAGGGTTACCTGATTCCGCCTGTTCTCAACACAATTCTGGACTTAATGGCCTTGACGCCTAACAGCTTTGGCCTTTTCTCAGAACTTTCAGTGCTCCAGAGAGACTATCACTAATCAATTAACACCTTCAATCTTTCTTCTTATATTTTCTAAATATTTAGGAACTCATTATATGAAAGCATAAATTCTTGTGAAAGGAAGAATGTTATATGAAAGGATTTTATTTCAAATTGCTCTGTCCTCAAATGAAATTTGAGACACTTATTTATAGGCGAGAGACTCAACTCTGCCTTGTTACATCTGACTTTTCATGGCCGACATGTTGCCTCTGAAGTCCATAGTGGAGTTAGGGGCCATTACATATCAACAAACTTTTTCTTTCATTACCTAACTATTTATGACTTTTTCCTCCACTACATACTCTATTATTACAAATGGACAAATTTTTTAAAAGAGGTGGGATCCTCCACTATCTGCATTATTTGCCTTCTGATGTAAGCGCTTACATCATTCCTGGATGGGTTCAAACTCTCCTTGTGATTCTGGGTTGCATAATTCACAAATGTGATCTTCTGTGAATTCCTTCTGTAGCCTGA